GTGAAGGACAGGAAGGCCTGGCACAATATGGTTCATGGGGTCACGAAGAGTCGGACACAACGACTCAACAACAACAACAAAGAGCCATCATTATAGGTTGCTAATTATATTGTCCTCATCCATTCACCTGTCAATTTCCTTTTAAAATAATCCAAATTAGCTACCATTGCTACAGCTGTTGGCAGTGAATTCCACAATGTAACCTGACACTATGTGAAAAAGTATTTCCTTCTGTCAGTCTTGAATTTCACTACAATTAATTTCAATGGGTGACCTTGAGTTTTAATATAGTGAAAGAGAGAGAGAAATTTACCTTGATCCATATTATGTATGCCAAGCATGATTGAATATACTTTGTTGTATTTTCTCTTACCCACCTTCATTCCAGGCTCCAGATGCTGGAATTGCTCCAATCCTCTAATTATTTTGATTACCATTTTTGAACTTCTTCTAGCTCTGTAAGATTCTTTTTAAAGTTCAGTGACCAGAACCAGAACTGTGTACAATATTCCAAGTGTAGCTTCTCCATAAATTTTAATAAGGATATCAATATATCAGCAATTCTATTTTCTTCCCAACGATTCCAAGATTGAAATTTGCCTTTTTTACAGCTGCATATTGGCTTGTTATTTTCATTGAACTGTCCACCATGACACCAAGATTCTCCTGGTCAGTCACTGACAGCTTAGACCTTTTAAAGTGAACCGTAATTGCCCAGTTTGAAGCCAGTTTGGAAAAATCCTTCTGTAGCTCTTCATGTCCTTGTTTTTATCTTACTAAGTTTGGTATCACCAGCAAATACGGTCACTTTACTGTTTAGCACTTACATGAAATTACTTCTATATGCGTAGCATCGATTCCAATATTGAACTCAGGAGGACCCTACTTTGTTCTCCAATATGAGAATTCCCATGTTTGCTACTGTCAGATTTCTGCTTTATAACCCAGTTGCCAATTGATGAGATCACTTGCCTTCTTGTCCCATTTTAGCTGAGTTTGCTCAGGAGCATTTCATGAAGGAGTTCATCAAATCATTTTTGCAAATACAAATATTCAAGAAAAGCAATTTGAAATTCCATCATAAGATGGGATGGATGAGAAGGAAACAAGGAAGGCTTTCTTTGAGTGACTATAATTCACCTAGCAACAAGGCATTACAACACCAAAAGAAGCATCAGCACTCTTGTAGGCTTGAAAGCTATGTCTCTAAATTGGGGCGAGAGTATAGAGTTGAACCTAGAACAACAAAAGATGGTTCCTCCCACATCCCAGTAGTAGGATGACAGTTCTCAGGCTCTTTATCCAGCATCTGCTCTTCTCATTCTTCTGGTCTGGGGGAGCCAAGACATATAGCACTAGCATGCCTTTTAAGTAGAATGGTATGCCATATACACATGTAATAGTAAAAGCTTTTTACTATAGATCCTAGCTTTGGTTTTTAACTCCATGGGTAAGGTGGGAACCTAAATCTTCAACTGCAAATCTTGAAGTTTTTTAAAAAAGGTTCAAGGAGGGTGGTGTGGGTTTGGTTTGGTTTGGTTTGGTTACTTCTTTATTTATTTATGCATGCCTCAAGTCATGAGAGGCTCATAGTAGAATTACTGTAGAAGATGGCTAATGATCAAATGGCAGCTAACTTATTCCTTTTTCTAGCGTCAGCAAAATGCCCTGAAGTATGTGACAGAAGAGTGGTCTCAAATTGAATATGAGTTATTACGGGAGAGAGGACTATGGGGGCCTCCCATTGGTTCTCACCTGGACAAGTGGATGCTGGAAATGACAGAAGGGCCATGTCGAATGAGGAAGAAGATGGTACGAAATGACATGTTTTATGTGCAGTATCCTTACATGCCAGATACTGAACATGAGACTAATTTGCTGGTAAGTGTAAATGCATGAGAAAATCTGTTTGTAGATTTGAGCAGTAGTTAAGCACTATTTGATTGCTCGTATCATTGAAAAGCATGTTCATCACAATGCCTCTCATCTGTAATGCATCAGATATTCATTGGCCATTAATATTCATTAGCCATAGATTTATTAAAGTTTTCTGGGAGTGCATTGCCATTGGATTTTTGATAGATGTTGATTTATCTCTAAAGGATTGTCACCTAAAAATATTTGGAGTAGCTGCCTAAGCCACATAAATCCTATAGGGTTTTTTTTTTTCAGTTTCTTCTTCTAGAATCCAGTTGTTTAATATTTCAGCCAGAACATAACCAAAGTAAAGTGATCTGTGGCTTGCTCCTTGTCCTGATGGGCAGGCCAGATCTATACATTTAGCCAGAGGTAGCCTAACTGAAAGATGCTTTATGATTTCCTTGTATTTGTACTTCTAGACAGACAGTAAAAATCTGAAATGTAATGAGCCGCTGGTAGATTACCATACAGGATTGATTGTTTAAATTTAACTTGCTGGATTAAAAGCTATTACAGATAGAGTTGGCCTGATCAAAAATATTTAGGAAGGTGATAATTCATTTTTGGACATTACAAGCATGGCTTTTAATAATCTGTTGTACTTGCAGACTGAAGATTGAAAGTATTAATTCTATCAACTGAGAATGGCTAAAATGCTATATGTTCAATTCTTTCCTAGAATATTAATTCAGATCATATATCCAATTTGCAGTTAAGTAGAGTTTAACCTGATACCTAGTTCTAACTATTTTTAATGTATCAGCTGCTATGGTGTTTTTTTCCCTTCCTTGCAATCCATGATGCAGAGAAAGGAAAGGTTCAGTCTAGTATTTTGAAGGCTTGACCAATATAGGTTCTAATAGTTTTAGCCAAGTGAACATCATCGTGCCAACGTTCTTCCTTAGTGTGATTTTTTTTCCCCTCATGTTTTTATATTTAATGCCCTGTTTTCAGTCTGACTTCTCAAGTAAGGCTCCGGAGACGTCTGATGATGACACTCCACAAAAGGTAAAGAAAGGAAGATATCCACGGGTGGCCAAGTGGATAGAAACCTCTCTGTGCATGTTAGGCAAACTTAACAAAGCTTCCGTGGATGGCTTTTGTGTTTTCTCAGTAACCCTGTTCTTGTAAGATTAATGATTTACAGCAAATACACGTAATGGGATGTGGCGGTATTCTCTTCACATCTTGATTTAATAGTGTTCCTCAACCTCAGCAACTTTAAGATGCATGGGCTTCAATTCCATACGTGCTGGTTGGAGAATTCTGGGAGTTGGAGTCCACACATGCTGGTTGGAGAGTTCATACATGCTGCCTGGGGAGTTCTGGGAGTTGAAGTCCACACATCTTAAAGTTGCTGAAGTTGGGAAATACCAATCTAATCTGATGTCTCTATAACTCCTTCTGTCTGTGCTGCACACTAACAGTTTGAAATTGTATAGTAATATCATGCAACATTTTTATAATAGTTTCAATGCTAATTCCAAATCTAACAGATTACTTGAAAGTTTTATTTAGCTTTCAGTTGGCTGTCTCCATTATATTTCTAGACAGCCAAGGGATTCTGTGTGCAGAGCTAGATTTTTTTTTTAACCTAAATAATGTGTTAATTTGCTTAATCTTAAATATTTTAAGAAACCTGCACGATACCGAAGAGCTATAAGCTATGACAGCAAAGAATATTACATGCGCTTGGCTTCTGGAAACCCTGCTGTCTTTCAAGATACCATTGAAGAGAGCTCTGAAGGAGAAGCTGCACAGCAAGAGCCCGAGCATGGCGAAGACACTATTGCAAGAGTTAAAGGTTGCATTTTCTTTTCTTCTTATTTTTTCACAGATAGACATTGATGTCTATTCGGCGAGCTAAAACTATCAATGACACATTTCTGTTTTGGGGAGATAACTAATTTACTCTTATTTTATACTAAGAGCAGAAATGAATCATTTTTACATTTCTGATTTAGGGCAAAGTTGAACTATTTAGCTGAAACTTTCTTTGTTTAATATGTGATGACCAAAGGTAGTCATGATATTTTATTAAGAACATGATCCTCTCATTCCTGAAGAGGCATAAAATGTTGTTCAGATGGTTTGCATTCTTTTTTACTTTATTCTGTTATTCTTCCTTCCTTGTTTGTGTGGATGGACAAATCAGTCCACATCTTGCCAGGGCCAAACTTCTAAACTTTTCCCATTAACAATAAGCATATTCTGTTTCTTCATTAACTTGTATTAAAAAAAAGTTCAAGTGAAAACATCTTTAAATATATGGTTGCTTTCTTAAATATATTTCTCATGATTTTACTGTATTTTTATAAGCTAAAATTGCTGAATATTGTGTTGCAAGTTTCTGAGAAGAGTGAAATCGAAAGCTGGTTAAGTTCTGATAGGCACTTAAGTCTGAATGGATCTGAGTATTTCAAATTGGAATCAGTATTGCAATATGTCAGAGTAGTAAAGTAACTGCTTCTGTCATTAGTGTTGGTATGAGCAAGAATATTTCCTCAAATTCTCCATTCCTGTTTAATACAACACAAATTTATAGCTTATATTATATCAAATGCTGCATGTGTGGGCCAATCACAGTTTTATCTTACTTTCCTTTATGGAACTCAAGATTATGCACCTGAAGTCCTCATCTTACACCCAAGGCAGGCCTGTTCAGTAGCTTAAGAGGGCAAATTGTGACTTGTCCAAGATCATTTACTGAGTTTCATTGCCAAAAAAACCCATGGGCCTATTGACCTTTACTAAGACCAAATAGGTCTTAGTAAAATGGAAATGCTGATCTACCTTTTTTTTCATTGGATCAGCTGCTGGTTCTACTGGAATTCTGCTTCTGTTAGATGGAATTTTACAGGCATAACCATAGATCTCAAGTGCAGTAAAACAGACATTTATTTCAATTGACTTGTTGATTTATTGCTCTACTCAGCTACCATACAAAGCTCATTAACTTGCATAAACATATTGTTGATGCATTCTGTTATATAATGCAGGTCTTGTTAAACCACCATTAAAGCGATCTCGTTCTGCCCCTGATGGGGGTGACGAGGAGAATCAGGAGCAACTGCAGGATCAGACAGCTGAGAGCAGCTCAATAGAAGAAGAGGAAAAAACCGATAACACAACTTTGCTTCGACTGCTTGAAGAAGGGGAGAAGGTACATAAAGTTCACCTCTGTCCTATACATCTCCAGATCTTTCTTCTGAATATTTTATACCACTAGATTCCTTTCAGAAAATTGTATATCCACTTTCAAATTAACATGGACTTAAGTGGGATCTTACAAAAGGAAGAATCTTTTTACCGAGTTGTCCTGTTAATTGAGACAGAATGTTCCACAGGAAATCCTGTTACAGCTATGAATACTAATGACCTAGTGTGTGATTTAATCTCCAGTTAAGCTCTTCTTTTTACATGTTTGCCATAAGAATAATTAAACTTTTACCTGACAAACAATATTAAACTGGATCTCAGTGGTTCACTGAAGTTTAAGCTTACCTTTGTCTATTAAGCTCCTTTAAATACATTTATATCAAAGTTGACTAGCAAGTTGATGGAAAATAATGACCAGATTTTCAGAGAGCTGATGAACAAACTTTGAATATATAGGCATACACAAAGCTAGGGATAATGGATTTAAATATTTTAAATAAATGGTATTTTATTGATGTACTTAGTTTTGATTTTATAGGAATTCATTTCTCAATATTACATTTTATTTTATTGGAAGTAAAATAATAACCTTTAATCATCTGCAGTAGAAGAAGTAGAATTTTCTCTTTCAAAATGGCCAGTTGTACCCAAGACTCATATTTTTAATAGCTTGGTATTTTTTCTTCTTTTTGGGTAGAGTTGTTAAAATAGTGTCATTTACAGTTTTAATTCATCAAGCCAATCTGTGAGGGTATTTACACAGGTCATTATAATAATTTATTATAAAAATTATTTGTAATAATAAGCAGCTCTGAATTACACAGCTGCAACAATGCACATTTTTTAAAATTATTTTTTCATATTCAGTTTCTCAAAAACTCTTTACTTCATTTAACAGAATTGGCATGTCATCTGCCTTTTTTACATTAAATGATTTTATTTATTTATTATTTTAAAAGATCCATACAAACGAAAACTAAAACCAAGAACAGCAAAAAAAAAAAAATCCCCCATGGTATGTAAAGCAAATTCACTTAAGGGTAGTTGCTTCTTGTAGAATATTTAAGATTATTCTCAAATATTTTCTTTTATTCTAATTCTTTAGTGTAGTACGTGAAAGCCTAGCATAGCTTTGCTTGTAAAATCTATGGAATCTAAATGACATGGCTAAGAAACAGTTTTCAGATTGCCCCTTCATGGAAATAATGTTAAGGTTGTAATACGTTGATTTGTTACAATGATAAGCTATCTTTGCACTCATCCTTATTTATTGTAATTATAGGTCCCCAGTTCTTGTGATATGTAAGGTGATGAAAGAATTGCTATGAAATAATTTTTGGTTTTATTTTATTTCTCTGATAAAGAAACCTTTTCATACTTCCATAATTCACTCTTTTTGCAGTATTGTGT